AAAGTAAGACATGTATTCCAACAATTGATGGACAATCTTATGAAAGAGAAGAGGAAGAAGATTAGCGGGAGAGTAAGCGTCAGGTTGAACAGGTGGAATTGAGGAGGTGATATGCGAAATGAGAAATTCGAAGACAGGGGAATAAGAAATTTCTAATAGCGGTGATAAAGAGAGTGAAGACTGAACGATCAGAGTCTGTTCTTAGACCGATGTTTGAATTAGCGGAAATTGTTCCCGAGAGTTGCTTTGCGCGGTGTTAGAACGAACGGAGGATGAATCAACGCGCTGTTAATCCTCGCTAGGTGATGGTGACGAGGGGCGGAAGAACTGCGTGAACGCACAACAATTTGGTCGTCTTTAAAGAGAGACACCAAGAAGAGGAGGGACTACCCAGTGTACTGCAGCGAAATCAAAACTTAAACTACTTGGCGATGACAATGAATAAGGTATCCGAGAGACCGTTGGAAAGGGTGCCATCGTCTGTGGGATGCTGGGCGCCAGGTTCGTCAAATTCCCCCCCGATCAGGCAGTTGGTCTTAAGATAATAGTATGGTTTTGCACTCTATTGGAGAACAAAAGCTTCGAGAATCGAAGATGAAGCCTTGATCGATGAAGCCTTTTTCAAAGATCCCGACAACTATAGCTTCCCAAAATTCAGAGAAAAATCACATTGAAGAACCGCGGTTTTTATATTAATCGCCCCTGATTATACTCCAATTTAGATTGGTGAAATAGGTTTTGTTAACTAGTAGTAGGATTTTTCTTTGCTCTCGGATTGGTCAAGATCTTGGAGGAGGAAAGAATGTTGACCGGAGTCTGTAATGTAAAAAAGTTCTCCTAAATTTTATGGGAAAACGCACGTGCAGTGCGTCAAGAAGGCGCACATGCAGCATCGGCACGAGATCAGAATCTACCCCTGAACGTCGCGTATCGCTTCTTAGATTTTGTGATCACAGACTTGAGAATCATCCGCGATTTGACCGTTAAAAAGTATCTTGGCGCCGGTATCTTATACTTCCAATGATATTTATTATTATTTTATCCGCAGTGTCCGAGGGGCACAAATTTGATGTCCTTTTGGTCCCACTGCATTGATTTTTAATTTATCTCGGAGCGACATTTACGAGAAGATATTGGATTCTTCGTTTTTAATGAGAAAAGAAAATTTTTAATCTTCTCTAGCTATAATGCTCAACTTATACATTATTCACTGTTTTATTTTAACGAATTTCATATCTCCACGAAAGAAAAGAGTCGCAGGAGCTACTGAACATTTAATCTGCACAAGATCGAGTGTGCTTTAGTGAGTTTCGTAAACTTATTTTAAAAGTCAGGTTTGAACCTGTGTTCTCTGTAATAACTTTTTTAACAAACTAAGCAAATAATTAATCTGAGTATGAAACTCAATTCACTGAGTATGAAACTCAACTCACTAGACTCAATTTCACTTGTGTGCTATGGAAAGCAACTAATGCGCGTACGAAATTATATATAATTTTATATTTTTCTCAAATAAAACATCAACAATGCTACTAAATTATGTTGCAATCGGCTGTAGCAATAAAAGCTACAGAAAAATTAAGGAACAAATTAATCAAGAGCAAAATGTTGAAATAAGTTTTCATCGGTACATATTTATAACCTACACAATACAAATAAAGATTTAATATAAAATAAATAATAAAAAAGAGGCTACGAGTCAACTCAGGCTAAATTACTTTAATGCTAATCCGGAAATAATGTGAAATTAAATTTTATATAATTGAATAAACGTTTCGACCTATATTATCAATATCACAATGTACCGATAATTA